CAGTCTCCTCCAATGGAGGCCAGGGCCACCCTTTGGGGAAGGGCTCTGTCATTTATCAGACACGCCCCATGTGCCGCATTATTAGCACTGTCCGGAGTAGGGCTGCTGGGAACATGGAGGGTATTTACTCATCTGTTTATGTTATTAATGTAGACATAAGAATGACATAAACATAGGACATATTTGTATTCATTTATTTTATAGGAGGCACATTTGACTGTTTTCTAGAATGTTCTGATTGGGCATCTGTAAATTGCATTTTTTCCTGTGGGGGGTTTCAGGCAGCTGTCTCCTTATAGGAATTCTATGGTAGGGGAAAGACTCCTTTGTCAAAGGCAGGATGCTCCCCAAATGAACTTTTCCTCAAATGTATTCTGCAAAACTTGGTTCTTGAGGGCGCTAAGAGGGACTATTGCAAAAAACAGTCCTGTGGGCAACTATGTTTCAGAGACAGGGCAGGTTAAGCAGATGACCCTCTATCGATCTACCTGCTATGTGGCTTTTACATTTGCTCCCGTGAACCTCCAAGAAGCACATGGTGCTCTGTGGGGACTGACTTGCCAGCTGAGCCCATGTCCTCAGGGAGCCACTCTGGAGGGCTGGTGTTCCTTGGGAACCCATTCTGGGGAACTCTGGCCTGCCTTCTGTTGATTTTTCTCTCAGATAAGGGGTTTGCTTAATGGTGAGGGAGAGGGGCACCCCTTCCAGAAGCTTTGACCTTAGCTGGGGGCTGAGTACAGGCTCTGAACTGTGGTTCTGAGCTCCACTGCCCCTTGGGAGCACTGTTGAGGGAGTCAGGCTCGGGACCCTGCAGTGGGAGGCTGAGCCCCAGTGACCTCTGACTCCCTTCTCGTGTGTGACTCCAGGACTAGGCACATGCTCACCCACCAGCAGACCAAGCCCTTTGCGTGCATGGAGCAGGGCTGCAGCAAGAGCTACTGTGAGGACCACTCCCTGCGCCGGCACTACCAGGTCCAGCACGGCTTGTGCATCCTGAAGGAGGCCCCCCCCAAGGAAGAAGCCTGTGGGGACTCCTCTCCTGCCCATGAGGTGGCCGGCCAGCCTGCTGCGGATGGCCTGCGGTCCCTGGTGCCTCCAGAAGCCAGGTCCCCAGGCCCCTTTTTGCCCAACCGAGAGCCCCTGCGCTCTATTGTAAGTAGCACGGTCCACCAGGAGATCTCTTCTCTCGGCCCGGTCCTGGCAGGGCCCTCAGATGACGGGGAAGGGAAAAACACAGCCTGTCCCTCCCCACCCTCACTGGGGCCCTACCCCTGCACCCCAGCGGCCCCAGGGACCCTGGGCACTGATGT